TAGAAAGAGGCAGCCTGGAGACAGACCCGGGAGGGCAGGCTGCTGGCAGTTTTCCAGGTACACTCAGGCGCATGTGCGCTGAGCTCTGGTTATGAAACGGGTGCTGCAGTAGGTGCAGGGAATGAGACAGGAGTGGTGCCCGCCCTAATAAATCCCAGGGAGTGGTGTTAGGAGGTGACAGGGGTCTGCTGCTTAAGATAGTAGCAGTAAGGATAGAGAGTTTAGGACAAACGTGAAAGGATTCTAGCAGGTAGAATTTCCAGGACTTACAGACTGCTGTGGGGGAAGAGGTCAGGAGGCTCCTGAACCCAGCTGGTTCAGGTGGTTGAAAAGACTCCTCCCTGGTCTGGATAGCTCAGTGGGATCATGCCTGTCTGTTCGGCGCTAAGTTTGTATCAGAGGTTGTGACGGGTTATGTTAAGGCATTGATAAGAGAAGCAAAATATAGAAAGGAGGGGTCCGGAACAAGTTTGGCCACCATGAATCCTGCCCCGGGACTTCGAAGCCATGCCACGCTCCCTTGCCTGCACTTGCCGTTACTGTTTTATTGGCAGGTGGTGCCACGCAACTTAGTTCTCGACCTTCTCGAAGCTGTTCTGCTACCAGGAACCACAGGTCCTGTTTTCTTTTCTCTGTTCCTCCAGGGAACGACACTTAGGAAATATTTGATGATGACGATAGCTGACATTTACCGAGTATTTGCTGTGTGTCAAGCGTTATTCTAAAGATCAAGCAGTTAGTATCCCTATTACCCAGTTGAAGAAACCAGGCCTTAGCTTAAGTAATTTATGAGTCAGGTGACCTTGGGTCCGTAGTAAAGCCAAGCTTGGAGCTCAGGGCTTTTTGACACCAAAGTCTGTGCTTTCAAACGCTATGTTGTATTTTTTGGTATCCTTTTCACTGATATTTAGGATATTAAGTCAGAAAAGTAGAGCCCCAAAGATCACAGGGTGAAGTTCAAGATTGAGGGGAGGGGGGCAGTGTTAAGTGTTACGTTGAGTCCTGTTTTCCCTTTGCAGGCTGATTTACCATGACCTCTTCAGAGACCCTCTCAACTGGTCTGGGGAGGCCCTTCCGGGGGGACCCCTGGGAGCCTTGCAAGCCATGTGCAAGAGGACGGATCCTGGTCCTGTCACCATCGCTCTTGATTCCCTGAGCTGGCTGCTATTGCACCTTCCCTGTCCCGCACTCTGCCAGGCCCTCTGTGCCCTCAGCCAGCAGCACTCCCGCCCTGGTGAGACTCCTTCATTCTTCTTATATACCTTCCCCTGCCAAGGAGCAAGCCCCTTTCCAGCCTAAGAAAAAACATGTTAGAGATCTCTGGTTGGGCCTTATAACATCAATTTGTTGTCTGTCTTCCGTCCCGACTTTACCATGATGCCACTTACCAATCACTTTACTATTTCTTTTCCAAGTTCTTTCTTACCTGTTTCATTCATTCGCGCAACAGATAAGAATTACGCAACATGGCGGGTACAGTTCTAGATGATGGAAAGGTAAGGACTAGCTATAGTCAGATTTTTGTTCAAAGTCCCGTAGAGGATACAGACAGGTAAATAAGCAATTATGATAGTCTGATAACAGCCGTGATGATAAAGGAACAGGCACAGCGTGCCTTCGGGAAAGAGCTGCCTGGAAGAGCAGGCCAACTGGGGCAGACCAGGGGCCCTGGGAGTAGCCCTGAAGTAGACTGTGGATTCTCCAGTGGGTTCTCTGGAGTCAGATGCCCAGCCTTGTGTTAAGGTGTCTAATCTCCCTGGGTTTCAGTTCACTCTAGAAGCAGGAGGAAGAGGGAGGGTGCGTGCTCAGTGAGCTAAAGCCTCTGCCTTCAGCTCAGGTCATGTTCTCAGGGTCCTGGGGTCGAGCCCCACATTGGGCTCTGCTCAGCGGGGAGCCTGCTTCCCCCTCTCTTTGTCTCTGCCTGCCTCTCTGCTCACTTGTGGTCTCTGTCAAATAAATAAAATCTTAAAAATATTTAAAAAAAAAGGCAGGAGGGAGGGTGAACAGGTAGTTTTAGGGTAAACCATTAGTCAGTGTGGGTAGGTCAGGTGCACAGATGTCAAGTAATAGCAGTTTCATGTGGTTCAGCCTAAAAATGCTGGCCTCCGTAGGGACTGAAATGTGACAATATATGGCGCAGTGCCTAACACTTTGTCAGTGTGCCCAGACAGGGAGAAAGGGAAGGAACCAAAGGCGTTGACTGGGATCACAGCGTAAAGTTCCCAGACCTGCAAGGAGTTCAGTGTGTAAGAGACTGAAGCTGGGCGGTAGGCAGAGAGCAGGTAAGGAAGGGGCTGACTCCATCCCGAGGAGCTCCCGAGCAAGGAGCTCCCAAGGACTGAAGTCCGAGTGAGCCGTGTTCAGATTCGCAGTAACAAGGTGAGGGCAGTAGTCTCCAGGGCTGCGAGACCAGCCAAGGGAGGTCAGCCCCGGCAGAGCCGTATGGGATGGCGCCTCCTCTCCCATGCATTTTCATCCTACGCCTCCGTCCCAGATGTTCCCTCCTGCCCTTCACACCCCTCCTTCCTTGTCCCTCCAGGTGGCAGCTCCCCAGTAGAGCCTGTGCGAGTGCTCGGCCTGCTACACGAAGAGCTCCATGGCCCAGGCCCGCTGGGAGCCCTGAGCAGCCTGGCCCAGGCTGAAGTGACCCTGGGTGGGACCGTGGGCCAGGCTTCGGCCCACATCCTCTCTCGGAGGCCCCAACAGCGCCCAGCCCGTCAGGTCAGGAGAACCCTAGGGAAACACAGGAGGTCAGGGTCACACAGAAGGGGAGAGAGCTGATGTGAGGGGCACTTCCCGGTGTGTCGTCGTTTCCCTCATTGAATCTTCATGGCTGGCCCGTGAGGTGGTTTTATTCTCCCCATTGAGTGGCTTGGGGAAGGTTCCCCACAGTTCCAGAGAGGACGTGGTAGAGCCAGGATTTGAACTCAAAGATGGCCTGACTCTGATCCCATGAGCTTAACCAGGGAGAACTGTCACCTTCCAAGAAATGGCAAAGGACAGGGAGCGGCTGGGTGGCTCAGTGGGTTAAAGCCTCTGCCTTCGGCTCAGGTCATGATCCCAGGGTTCTGGGATCGAGCCCCGCATCATTGGGCTCTCTGCTCAGCAGGGAGCCTGCTTCCTTCTCTCTCTCTCTGCCTGCCTGTTTGTCTACTTGTGATCTCCATCTGTCAAATAAATTAAAAAATCTAAAAAAAAAAAAAAAATGGCGAAGGACAAAAGCCTGGGAGTGGTCTCTGGGGGAGAAGGCATGAGTTCCGATGGGAGAGGTCTGAAGGAGGGCTGAGGAGGCACCAGCAGGAGCTGCGGGCCCCTCGTTACACAGATGCTGTTCCGTCTGAGTTCCTTTCCCTGCTTTGCTCCGTAAGATGGAAAACACCTTTCTGTTCCTACTCTGTCTTCTCCGCAGACCCAGTGGTTCTCCATCCTGCCTGACTTCAGCCTGGACCTCCAGGGAGGACCCCCGCTAGAGTCCCAGCCCCACCCAGAGCCTCACACACCCCCGGTATCTAAGGGTGCTGGGGCCAGAACGAGGGAATGCGGGGGTGGGGTCGGGGATTCCAGCCACGAGCAGAGCGGAAGCATCCTCTGTACCTCCAGGTGGACCCCACAGCTCACGTGACTTTCAACCTGCACTTGTCCGAGAGCGAGCGAGCAGCCAAAGACAGCCTGACGTTGCCCTTCCAGTTCAGCTCTGAAAAGTAAGGCTAGGGGCTGTGCACCCTGTTCTTGGGTAGAGCCTGGCCTGGGATGGGACGGGAGGGCCGGCAGGTTATCGGTTAACCTCCCAGACTTTATAGGGGCTGAAGTCCACCTCCCGAGAGGAGTCTGGGGAGTGGTTCTCTATCCACTCTTCCTCCCAACCAGGCAAGAGAGCCTTTGTGTGTCTCTTCTCTCCAGGAGAGGCTTGGGTCTCTGACCAGCCCAGACCAGACCCTGGGGAAGTTTCCAGGCAACAGTGTTGGGAGGACAGGAAGCTGGATGGGTGTGGTGGGCAGGTTAATAACGGCCTCACTCTGCGAGTGTTCTCTGCCTGCTGTGTGGGTGGGTGAAGCAAGCGGCCAGGATCCTTGCCCTCAAGCTCTGAGAACGGGAGGCGTCTTTAGGAAAGCGGTCCAAGAATGTCTGTCCCAGTCCAGGTGGCGCTCCGGCACCAACCGAACAGGGAGGTCAGAGAAGGAGACTTGGACCAGGGAGCTATGGAGGGACAAAGAAGAGGGGTCTGTCACCAGGAAGGGAGTGTGTAGACATGAACCCCAACCCCTCCCTCACCAGCCCCCATTCTCCCCTTCTCCTTCCTCAGACAGCAGGCTCTGCTGCGCCCTGGGCCCAGGCAGGCCACCGGCCGCATCTTCTATGAGCCAGATGCATACGACGACCTGGACCAGGAAGACCCAGATGATGATCTAGATGTCTGACTGGCCTGGAACTGGGAGGAGGAGAAAGACCTTGGACCCATAACCATCCTCCCATTGTTTGCGTTGGCCTTGCCCTGTCCCTGTCCCCACCTTTGTTCCCTGGGTCGCAGAGGCCCTGCCCTGTGACCAGTGAGTCAGAGAGTAGCGTCCCCTCAAGACAAAAGGTGGGAAAGGGGCAGTCAGGGAAGGTGAAGAGAATGGGAACCCCTCCCCTCCCTGCCTAATAAAGTATTTTTCTATTGAAAGGAACTTGGGTAGTCACTTAAGCAAGACTGAGGAACAGAAAAGCTGAGGGAAAGCAAGCACCTGAGTCTTTCAGGGTTAATAGTGTTGGGGCCCGAATGACAAGGAATGGTGGCACAGGGAGAGCTGTGCATACCACTGGTGTTCAATATGGGGTCTATTTCAAGCCAAAGCAGGTACATTTAAAGGTTCCAGGTTCCCTGCAAGGATTTGGGCTGGAAGAAAGCAGAGGCCCTGAAGCAGAAAAAAAGAAGCCTACTTTCCAAAACATACTTTTTTATTACTGTACAAAAAGCACATCCAACACCCCCTCCCTTTGTCTCCCTCCCCCCTCCCCTTACCCCCACCCTGAGGGAACTGTATGTACACAGTGCGCGGGGCTGGGGTGATGAGGCTTCAGCTCCGCACCCTGCCCGTGAGCTGAGATCTGCCCCAGGTTATTTCTGGTACCTGGGCATACCAGAGGCTGCCCAGCTGGGGCAGGGGTGGTCCCAGCTCACACGTACTCCTTGGCAGAGTTAGGCTTAGGGTAGGAGCGGGGAGCACGGTACCCAGTTTTGCCCTCACTCCCAGGACAGGAGCAGGAGAGGAGGGCACCTCCCAGGATGACCAGAGCAGACCCTGCCCAGCCAATGAAGATAGCAGGACCAAACTCGTACCTACGGAGAGAGGGGGCTGGGGTCAGAAAGCCCACCTTTCCTGACTGGGGACCCCAGGCCTGGCATCCCCTTAGGAGGCAGGGCTCCCAAACTTACTTAAGATTCATGGGAACCAGTGGGTTATAAAAGTCGGTGACAATCTGGTGGCCGTACCAGGAACATGCTACCAGGGCAGCAAGACCTGGAGAGAGGATGGTTCAGATGTTTTAGCAGACCCCAAACCAGCGCCTTGCACACCCTTGGTCCCGGGTGCAGGGCCGAGCTCACCTGCCACGATGAAAATGATCCCTCCGGTCGTGGCTATCCGGGCTTTCTTCACTTTGTCGTCTCCCCCACAGTTGGTGCACTTCATGCCCATGGTGGCCACGAACATGGCCAGGAAGCCCAGCACCAGGGATACCACCATCAGGGCTCGGGTGGCCTGCAGGGCCGCTGCGGGGAAGGGGGAAGGAGGCCCTCATTGCTGGACGTGCGGGCGGCTGCGGCCTTCGAATCCCCGCGGGCGCCCGAGCCCGGGACCGAGCAGGTGGGTCCCGCCCCTCGCGGCTCCACGGCCTTCCCGCCCCGCCCCGCCCTCTCTCGGCCCTGGGACGCGCCCGGGGCGCAAGGGTTTCGATGAAACTGCCGGGGGTTGAGGGGAGGGGGGAGGGGGCCAGCGAAGGCCCGCGGAGGCAGCGAGCGGAGCACACCCGCGGCCGAACGGTCCGGCCCGCGGCCCAGCGCTGACCCCGCTATCGTGGCCACCGGGTTTGTGGCTTCGGCTAATCGGCCGATAAGATTACAGGCCGCAGGCGGCGGCCCACGTCTGTCCGACCCAGCGCACGGCTCCCCGGTCGACCCCGCGCCCTCCGCCGCGCGCCGCCTTTTGTCCGGGAGAAAAGGGCGGGAGACGGAGGCCGCCACCTGCGCGGGCCGGCGCGGGAGGAGAGAGCTGGAGGGGGTTGGGCCGCCGGCCTCCGGCGGCGGCCTCTGGGAAGGGAGGGGGCCCGGCCGGCGGGGGCGCAGGCGGACGTGCAGCCGCTGGAACCCGGGCCCGCGGCCGCTTCCGCTTCTTCCTACCCGCCCGCTCCCCGGCACCCCCGGGCGTCGGGCGGTGGGGCCTGGCGCCCCTTCCCGCTCCCGGCCCCGCGCCCACGGTTCCGGGGGTGTCCGCCCCGTCCGCCCCGCGGCCTTACCGGACAGGGCGAGCACCGAGTCGTACGATTTGCAGCTCATGAGGCCGGTGCTCTGCGTGATGCACTCCATCCACAGCCCCTTGTACATGGCCTGGGCCGTGATGATATTGTCGCCCGCGTACGAGCTCATCTGCCACTGCGGGATGGCGGTGCACGCCACCAGGGCCACCCAGCCCAGCAGGGCCATGGCGAAGCCCAGCAGCTGCAGGCCCGAATTGGCCATCTCTGCCCTCAGAAAGACGGGGCGGGCGACCCTGCGGTTAGAACAGACAAAGCCTGGGGGGTCGGCCCCACAAAAAGACCACTTGCAGTGGAGTCTCGAGTCACCCAAAGAGAAGGGTTTGGGTCCGGTGATTCCAAATCTTTTTGTCACCCGAAGAAAACACAAACCGATCTTCTTCCGGCGGGCGAGGGTCTTCAACCTCAAGGAACAGGTTCCGCCCGAGGACTGGTGGTTGAAAAAGCGATCGGCGAGGGCCAGGCGGTCCCCCCCGCGGCGGTCGCGTAGACCCTACCCAAACAAAAGGCGGAGGGGCAGTATGCGCGCGATCCCGGGGGCCGGAGGTCCCCAAAGTACCCTGCGCTGTCGGCCTGAGGCTACCGTGAGAGAGAGAAGTCGCTCAGCCGAGAGCGGGCAGGTGCGGGCGGACAGGTGCGGCGCACCTGAGTATTTGTAGGGCGTCAGGGGCGCGCCCCCGCAGGCACCGGGAGCGCGGGGCGGGCCGGACCGCAGGGGCGGCCGAGAGTGACCTGACGTCACCGAAGGGACACTCACCTGAGCCGGAAGTCCTGGCCCCCACCCCTCCAGGCGCAGGTGAAGAGGAAGAAACCTGAGCGCCAGGGTCACGCCCCTTCTCTTGCAGGGCTGGGACTGCCGGTCGGGGGGAGGTGGAGGCTTCTCCGGAGTTCCGAGCTCGGAGTCAGCCCCTCGGGACTGGACTTCCCTTGGGCACCAAGACGCCTCCTCACCTCTCCTCAGCAGGTGCGCCTGGGATACTGCGGAGCTGGCGGGATGCCCCGGGACCCTGGTCTCCGCCTCCCCACTCCCCCCACCGGCAGGGACTCTTGGTTTCTACTCAGGGCGCTCTTTGTCCCGCCCTACTTTCGCCCCCACCCTCTGCTCTTTTTTTTTTTTTTTTTTTTTTTCTTTTTTCCTTCCCTCTCTCTAGTTGGCTACCCTAACCGTCCCCAGCTTCGGGAACCCTGGTCCGAACCCTCAGAACTCCAGAGCATGGAGCTTCAGCTGCCTCCCTGGAGTCTCTATTCCCAGAGCCACCACCCTGCTGCCCCTGTCCCTTCCCCTCCAACTGACTCCTGACTTCCTGGCACCGTGCCCCAGCACCCCATCTTGGCTCTCCATTCCATTCCCTATCCCTGACATAATGCAATGCCCGGGCCCCTTGTGCTCCACCTCCCGCCATCACTATCCGCATCCCCCAGCCTCCTTCCTAGTAAAGCGACAAAAACAGAGGCCAGAAGTCAGCAGAGGGTGGGGAGCGGGGTAAGGCCTCGGTCAGATGCTTGGCCACACCTGCCATTCCCCTCCCTTGGAATCTTTCCAGACCTGTCCTCCACTTTCTCAATTCCCTGTCCTTCTACCCATACACACGTTTCCCTTTCCTTCCTTCTGAGCCTGGACCTGACTCTGCACACTGTCCTCCCTAACGTCCAGCTCCCCCGTGGCCTTGGCCTCAGCCTTCAGACTCCCACGTGGTCTTCGGGCTTCTGCTCGCTCTCCCCAGACTTGTCCCGGCCTCCCTGTGGGCATTTCTTCCAAGCGTCTCCATTCACTCACCCTCCCTCTGAGTCTGCCTTTCAGTCCCTTCTCTGCCCGGGAGCCCAGCGACGCCACATCCCTGTCCCCTCGCCCGGAGCCCTCCTGACCCACCTCTCCTTCACTCTCTGACTCACACCTTCCCATCTTCTTCTTCCTTTCTCTCTCCTTTTGTCCTCAGCTCTCTCCCATTTCCCGTTTTTCTTCCCCCTCTGAACCATTTCTCGATAAGGCTCTCCTTTTCTGCAGTAAAAATATTAAAGGGACACGGCACTACGCGAATTACCCTGCTCTTCTAATGCGGACTTTAATGAATTATCTGTCACTTGTTTTTAGTTTTCTATTTTTTTGATTAATGGTGAGTTGTTGTGTTTTTTGTTGTTTTTTATTTTTATTTAAAGTTTTTTTTTTTTAGGTTTTTATTTATTTATTTATTTGACAGAGATCACAAGCAGGCAGAGAGGCAGGCAGAGAGAGAGGAAGGGAAGCAGGCTCCCTGCCGAGCAGAGAGCCCCATATGGGGCTCAATCCCAGGACTCTGGGATCATGACCTGAGCCGAAGGCAGAGGCTTTAACCCACTGAGCCATCCAGGCGCCCCTGTTGTTTTTTTAAGGTGCTGTCCGGCTCCAGAATTTCATGCTTCTTGCCCCTGCACTATACCCAGTTTGTCCCCAAGCTCGCAGCTGCCCCCCAGGCCGGCCCACCGTCTCCGCCCCTGCCTGCCCACCAAAGTTGCCTCCAAAACCACATCCCTGCTTCCCTGCTTGTCCTTCTAACACCCATTCTCTGGAAGAGAACATCTGTTTGTTTGTTTGTTTCAAACTTAGGTCTTGTCACTTTCCATTTAAAATCCTTAAAATCTGGGGCACCTGGGTGCCTCAGTGGGTTAAGCCTCTGTCTTTGGCTTGGGCCGTGGTCCCAGGGTCCTGGGATTGAGCCCCGCATTGGGCTCTCTGCTCGGCGGGGGGGCCTGCTTCCCCCCCCCTTTCTGCCTACCGCTCCTCCTGCTTGTGCTCTCTTACTCTCTCTGTCTCTCAAATAAATAAAATCTCTGTGCCTCTGCCACCCTGGCCTTCTCTCTGCTCCTGACGTGTACGACTTCCCTTCCCACCAAGTGCCCTTCACACACTCTGTTCCCTGTGTCTGGATGCTGTCCTGCGTGCACCTCCACGCGCCTCCCTCTACCTGGCTAACTGACCTGTCGCCTGGTGGCGGTGGCAGTGGCGATCAGCTCAAATATCACCTCTGCGGGGAAGCCTGGCCTGACCATCCCGCCCCACACTGAGTCACAGCACCCGCTGAATGCTCTCCCTCGCCGCTATTTAAGCCTTAACTTGCAAAGTTCTTATCACAGTTCCAAACTATTTACTCTGCGTGATTATTTATTCAATGTCAGGCTCCCGCTGTAGATGCATCTGGGTTTATCGCCAATAAATATTTGATGAGCACATGAAAAAACTACAAATGAACAATATTTTCAACCACTCGTTCAACAGATACTTCCTGTGTGCCTGTGCAATGACCCAGGCTCCACGCTCAGCTCTGGAGACACAGTGGTAACAGGACCAACGAGGGCACTGTGCTTAGATTCTAGAGGGAGGGGGCGCCTAGGGGGCTCTGTGGGTCAAGCCTCTGCCTAGGACTCCGGTCATGATCCCGGGATCCTGGGATCGAGCCCTGCATCAGGCTATCTGCTCAGCGGGGAGCCTGCTTCCCCCTCTCTCTCTGCCTGCCTCTCTGCCTACTTGTGATCCCTCTCTGTGTGTGTCAAATAAATAAATAAAATCTTAAAAATTAAAAAAAAAAAAGGTTCTAGAGAGAGGAAGCAGACCAAAATGGTGCCTGTTGAAAAGGCAATAAAATGGGGCGATGGGATGAACCACATCTGATGTTTGAGGCCAGATAATCCGTTTTGTAGGTGACTGTCACGGGCATCATAGGGCATTTAGGAATATCGATGAGATGCCAGTAGAACCCTCTTCTGAGCGCAGACTGACCATCCAAAATGGCTCCAGATGCTGCCAAATGTCCGGTGAGGGGAGGGGCAAAATGGGTCCCCGTTAAGAGCCACTGATTTCAAGTGTGACCAGTCAACATCACTATGACGTTTTGCTCTAGTAGCCTGCAAGTCAATGGCTCGGCACAAGGAGCAAGAGGATGGATGCTTGGACTTAACCAGAGTTGGTTAAAATCTCCTGTGCTCCATTCCAGATTTCTCCTTGTTTCTTCATTTTATTTATTTCATGTTGAGAGAAAGAGAGCACATGATGGTGGGTGTAGAGGGAGAATCTTAAGCAGGCTCTGTGCTGAGTGTGGAGCCCAACACAGGGTTCGATCTCATGACCCTGAGATCATGACCTGAGTCGAAATCAAGAGTCAGACACCTAACTGACTGAGTCACCCAGGTGCCCCCCATTCCAGATTTTAAAGCGTCAACCATCTGGGGCACCCGGTGGCTCTGGCTTAAAGCCTCTGCCTTCAGCTCAGGTCATGATCTCAGGGTCCTGGGATCGAGCCCCGCATCGGGCTCTCTGCTCATCGGGGAGCCTGCTTCCTCCTCTCTGCCTGCCTCTCTGCCTACTTGTGATCTCTGTCAAATAAATAAATAAAATCTTTTTAAAAAAAATTTTTAAAAAGGGTCAACCATCCTAAGTGTTAGTGAGGGTATGGAGAAACTAAGCTCTCATACATTGCTGATGGGATGTCAAATGCTACGACCACTTGGGAAAACAGCTTCGAGCCAAGTTACAGACTCAGCTGTAATATAGTCCAGCTGTTCCACTCCTAGGTATTTTCCAAGAGAAATGAAAGCACAGCGTCCAATCAAAGACTTGTGCATGAATGTTCCCAGCAGTGTTACTCATAATAGCCCAGGACTGGAAGTAATCCAAGGGCCCATCAGCAGGTGAAGGGATAATCAAACTGATCGCCATTGATAATCAAATCAATAATTTTCAACAAAAAAAGGAATGAACTCTTGAGACACACAACGTAGATGATTGCTGTAAAGTGAAAGAAGACAGACAAAAAGAGCCCACATTGGGGCTCCTGGGTGGCTCAGTGGGTTGAGCGTCTGACTCTTGGTTCCGGCTTGGGTCATGATCTCAGGATTGCGGGACTGAGTCCCACGTTGGGCACTACCCTTGCCAGGGAGTCGGCTTGGTTTTCTCTCTTTTCCTCTGCCCGGGCCCCACTTGGACTCACAGGTGCTCTCTCTCTCTCTCTCTCTCTAAAATAAATCAAGAAATCTTAAAAAAAAAAAAGAGTACATTCTGTATATTTCCATTTGCATAAAATTCCAGAAAATGCAAAGTGCTCTAGGATGACAGATGGCACTGGTTGCCTAGGGCGCGGGTGGAAGGGCAGTAGGAGGGTTACAAAGAGGTAGAAGGAAACTTTGAGGGATGGTGGATGTGTCCATTCTCCTGATGACAGGGACGGTTTCATGGGTGTATACATCTGTCAAAACTTCCCAAATCGGACCTTTGAAATATGCCCAGTTTATTGTTTCTCAATTATACCTCGGTAAAGCTGTTGAAAAAAGCAAAAAATTAAAAATTCAGTTCAATCTCCTCTGAGCCCTGTGTCAGTGTTAATATTATTCACTTTCTCCTTTTACCAAAGAGGCAAAGAAGGCACAGGGGGTTTGGGTAACTCTCCAAAGGACACGGCGTTGGTAAGTGTCAGAGCCGGGCTCAGGCTCAGGCAGTGTGAGCCCAGAGTCCATACCCTTCGCCATTGCTGGGAGTCCGGAATGGCAGGACACAGTGTTGCACTGCTGCTGGACGTGGAGACGGGGACAGTCATTCTTCAGAGCAAGCTGGGAGTAGGGACTCAAGTTGGGTTTAAACATGCCCCGGGACTCAGAAATCCCACTGTGGGCATAGTTAGAGATAAGTAATAGACGTTCACAGAGGCAGAGACTATCTCCCGAACAAGTCCTCCGAGGGGCCCATAACACAGCTCGTTGGAAAAGGGCACCAGCGCATTCTGCTTCGCCGCGGGGACTGTGGGTGACAGGGGTCCTCACCCGGAGGGACTGTGAGCAAGTAAAACGTGGTGTGAGTGACACTGTGGGGTACTACGCAATGAACCTGATCATGACAAAGCATGAATGAGGTTAAAGCACAGTGCTTACTGACAATAAGTAGGACCAGAATGAAACGTGACACTATTGGGGCGCCTGGGGGCTCAGTGGGTGAAGCATCTGCCTTCCGCTCGGGTCTTGATCTCAGGACCTGGGATCCAGTCCCGCGTTACGCTCCCAAGCCTGCTTCTCCCTCTCCTTCTGCCCCTCCCTCTGCTAGTGCTTTCTCTCTCCTCTCTCTCTGTCACATAAATAAATAAAATCTTATAAAAAAATAAAAATAAGATATAGATTAACAAACACAATGCACAACAGACAGTGTCATTGACTCAATCCTCTGCACCCGAGTCCCTGATCTATAGACAAGATGTGGAGAAGGCACAGAGAGGGGCCCCGGCATTGCCAGAGCTCAGGAAGCAAGGTTGCCTTCCAGAAACTGGAGGCAGAGTGGGCCTGTGGAGTAGGAGCTGGAGTCAGTGTGTCTGCGGGGGTCCCCGGGCTTTCTCAGCCCCCCCCCCCAGCCAATCTCTTACCTATCATGGGCTGAACACAGACAGAAGGCAATGATCACAGGAGCTTGGAAAACAAGCCTGCGGGGATTAACGCCCCGTGGTAGAGGGCAGAGCAGAGGAAGGGCTACAACCAGTTCTCTCGAATGGGCCATGATCACTCAGCAAGGTCCACACACACCCTTAGATCTCCCACACAAGGTCCCTTCCTCCTCTCACCCCCTCATGTCACATGCCTCTCCTTCCTTTTCCTCCTCCTCCTCCTCCTCCTTCTTCTCCTTCTTCTTCTTCTTCTTCTTCTTCTTCTTTTAAGGTTTTATTTATTTATTTGACACAGAGAGAGAGGCATGGAGAGAGGGAATACAAGCAGGGGGAAGTGGGAGAGGGAGAAGCAGACTCCCTGCTGAGCAGGGAACCCGACGCGGGGCTTGATCCCAGGACCCTAGGATCTTGACCTGAACCAAAGGCAGATGCTTAACTGATTGAGCCACCCAGGTGCTCCCCCTTTTCCATCTTCTATCAGCAACCTTGTTCCCACTTTTGGGCCGGTTCTCCTACTCCCTTCCAGCTCTCCTGATTTCTCGCTCGTCTCCTCTCCCACTTCCCCATCCCTCTCTCCAGGCTCTTGGAACTATCTTTCTCTACCTAGTTCTGACTTGGTTTCTTTGAGTGCGCTTTCCCCAGAGGCTTAAAGCCCTAGAAGCATCACTGAGGAGCCCATCAGAAACAAAACATCTGAATGAGAGCAGGCATGCCCATGGAGAGAACCCAACGGTGAACTTCACCACCTACACTGACTTTTCATCTGCCCCCCTCCCCTCACCCCTCCACTCCCGCCTGTGCCTCCTGTACCCCCTCCTTGCTCAGAGGCACCTTGCTTGACTTTTCCCTTCTCCCTGTCCTTCCCCCACCCCTTGTAGGAGTCCAGCAGTTGGTTCTTCCTTTATCTCTAGATTGGTCCTTCCCTGCCTCAGTCCATGGCTTCTGCTCCTTTGGGACTCCGCTATGCTCAGCTCTTAGCTCTTCATCGACACCCCCTTAGTGAGACAGGCGTAGCCATTCAGCCAATAGTTCCCTCCTTGGTGACTGTTCCCCAAGCTGCGTTGTTGGCCAGAAGGACCAGACCGTCATGCATTCACTCAACAGGTGCTGAGTGCCCACCACCAGGCTGGGCGCTGGGGACACAGCTGGGGACACAAGGTGACGTTCTCTCAAGGTTGAAGTACAGAGAAGAAATGATGCCAGTCGGCTACATCGGGGACACAGGGCTTTCTTTGTTTCCAGAGAAAGCCAGCAAAGGTTTCGGAGAGAGGGTGAGCATTTTTTCTGAAGGGCACCCAGGGGAGAAACGGCACGGTGTGCCCTGGTACAAGGAGTTAGGGATTGACTAGAACGTGAGGATAGAGTCTAGAAGGTGGGGCAGAGATGGGGCAAGAAAGGCAGAAGGTCTTTTTAGCTCTGAAAAAGGGTTTGAACTTGAGAGTGGGGACAACAAAGAACCACTGATTTTTGGGGAGGGAGTGATGAACTTGAGCTTTTTTTATATTGAGCTCCACCCTCCGCACAAGGGAAAGTAAGGAGCGGGAGGTAACGGTGGGCGGACGATGCCTCAGCAGTCCGGGTGGAGAAGAGCAGACGAATGTGCGTTTAGGAGGTCAACACACCCATGCCGGTAACTAGCTGGACAGGGCGTGTTGGTGGGGGAGGGGTTGTGGGGGGGAGGAAGGGAGCATGACCTCCAGGAGATGTGCGGAGAGTAGGTCAGGAGGCAGGGCAGGTGGGGACATGCGGATCATGGGAGCTGCCCCGTGCTGCTGGCAGCTGAATCCCCGGATCCCGAGCTGCAGAACGGGGCCTGCGCTGCACGTAAGGAAGCCTTGGAGAGGTGGCCAGGCGACGGCCAGGGGCCCCAGCAGACGGCTCCGCCCGGACGCGCTGCGGATCCTTGCTCTCCCTCCAGGTGGCACCACAGTCCCGCGCGTCCGAGGCCCGTGCGCCGCGCCCTGCGCCGCGCTCCGGTCCGCAAGCGCCAGCTCTCAGGTCGCGCCTTCCTCGCGGGGGGTTCACACCCGGAGAGGCCTCAGGAGAGCGTGTCCAAGTCGTCCACGCGGCGGGCACATTCGCGGCAGCTCAGGGACCTCAGGCCGGTGGCGTGGTTGGTGTGACCAGCTGTCCCTCAGGCCGCCTCCGGGAGCCAGTGCGGGGAACGGGGGTAGGAGAAGGGCCAGAGCGCGGATGCGCGGAAGGAGGACCGTCAAGCCCCGACACCCGACGCGCTGGGGACGGAACTTCCTGTGCCCCAGGGCCATCCCCACGTGGGAAGAACGTCTCGGACCCTTTAAGGATCCGTCCCCCTGCCCTCCCCCGCCGGGGACCGGCCGGGACACCGGGGACCTGACATTTGGCGTCTCCCAACGCGGTAGCTAAAAATAGCCGCGGTGGGTTACTCCAGGCCATTGCTCCCCAGCCACCCCGCGCGCCGCTCGCGCGCGGTCCCGGGCCGCCCGAGCTCTCTCCGGGGCCAAGCGTGCCTGCCGCATCCCCTCCTCCCCGACCCCGCGGTCCCCACCCGCGGCGCCCACTTTCCGGCGCTACCCCAGCCCCAAGCCCGGCTGCCAGGCCGAGTCCCCAAGCGAGGTGGGGAGGGACCTGCGTCCCGGGACTCTTTCCCCCAAACTTCGCGGTGGGAGGCCGGCAGACACCCACCCCGCGCGTGTAGCCAGGCACGCTGGGGAGGCGGGGCCTCGCCGGCCAACCCGCGCTGCAGGGCCAGACTCTGAGCCTCGGGCCTAGGGAGGGGCGTGGGCTTCTGGGCGGGCTCCTGGCCAATGGGTGATGCGAAGGGCGTGGCCCGTGGAGGGTTGCGGGGGCTCTTCGGGCCTCTCCCCCCAGCCCGGCTCCGCCAGATCCCCGGGAGCCCTGCCGCTCTCTGGGTCCGTGGCTCGCGGCGGTGGGTCCCGCCGGTCTCGCCCTCCGCACGCCGCTCCGGGACGCCCGTCGCCCCCGCGCCCTCTGCCCGCCGGGACGGGGCCGCCGACCCCCAGTCGCCTCCCTGTTAACTGAAGCTGCTGCGCCCCCGGTTCCTGAGACAAGATGCCGTCGGGTTTCCAACAGATCGGCTCGGAAGTAGGGTTCAGCATGCGGGGGCGGGACGGGGGCGCAGGGCCCGCTTTTCTTGGGCTGGGGTCGCGGTTGGGGTCAGCTAGGGGGCGGTCCCTGCGCAGGCGCAGGGGGTGGGGGAAGTGGGAGCCTGGCTATTTATACCCGAGCCGGACAACCCGTGACTGTGGGATTCCAGTCCTTCCAAGAGGCTGAGTGGGTCTGGGGGGACCGTCCGGGGACATGGGCCGCCCCGCGGTTTCCCGAGCCCAGGGTTCTCCCCCTTCTCCAGGGCGCGGCGGGGCGCGCCGGGATCGGGGGACAGCCTGCCCCAGATCCAGCCCGAGAAAGCAGATCCGGGCTGGTCTTGCCCTCCTGGAGCTGTCCGTGTGTCCCGGCTCGCGGGAAGTTTTTCGAGGAGCAGAGGCTCTCGTGGGCCCCCACCCCCACTCCTGGCCCTCCTCCAGGACGCTGAACTTTCCCTTGGCCCCATGGCTGGTGGAGGGGCTGAGGGGAGTGTCAACCCCCCCTCCCCCAGCTCAGGTTTCCGCTTGGAGACAGTGTGTGCCGCCAGAGAGCGGCCACCGCTGCCACCGCCCCTCGCACCACCTTCCCGCCCCCATCCCCTGGGCACGGCTCTCCCAGGCAGAAGCCGGGCACGGCCCCCCGCCCCCAGCGGCAGAGCCTAGAGGGGGAGGGGAGCCCGGGGCGGAGACAGAGACAGCCACCCCAAGGGCCCTATGCGGGCAGGAATGACCGCGATGTCCTTTTTGGAACTGTCCTTCTTGGGCGTGTTGGGGGCCTCCAGGAGTCCTCTGAGAGCACCCCCAGAGGGGACAGCAGAGGACAGAGGCCTGTGATAAGGTCCTTGTCGGTTTATAAATCCTGCGCCGTTAGGAATCCCCTTAGCATTTGATTTTGATTTTCTCCTTTTCAGGGACAGGTAGGCAGAGCAGGCAACATCACTCCTAGGGCCCCTGACCCAGAGGAAACCTTAGCTTCAGAGTGGGAAAGTGACTTGCCCAAGGTCACACAAATCTGAACTCCAGTCTTAAGGCCAAAAGCCTGCCCCAAGGTCACCGAGAAACAGTGAGGCCAAGATCTTCAAACATTTCTCAGCTCGCTGGACTCAGACATCCCGTTTCTCCTTCATGCACGGTGACATGCCCGGTGACTGCTGCTGTTTACACTGAGTTCCTCATCCCGATTCCTAATATGGCCCAGTTTCCCTCGGCCAACATGTTGGATGGAGCCCAGCATCTTCAGACTCCAACAGGGCGCGGGCCCCTGGACAAAGGGAAGAAATCATGATTCTGTGTGACCCGCCTCCTCTCTGCTTCTGCCCACCCAGGACGGGGAACCTCCCCAGCAGCGAGTCACTGGGACCCTGGTCCTTGCTGTCTTCTCTGCTGTGCTCGGTTCCCTGCAGTTCGGCTACAATATTGGGGTCATCAATGCCCCGCAGAAGGTGAGGGGCCTGCGGCGGACAGAGTGGGCTGTCCAAACAAGGAGGGGGCAGGGGACAGCGTGGGAGAGCCGAGGGGGAGGTCTCCGCAGGCTGTCACCCCTCCATTGTCTCCCCCACACATACCAGGTGATTGAGCAGAGCTACAATGAGACGTGGCTGAGGAGGCAGGGGCCTGAGGGACCCGGCTCCATCCCGCCAGGCACCCTCACCACCCTCTGGGCTCTCTCCGTGGCCATCTTCTCCGTGGGCGGCATGATCTCCTCCTTCCTTATTGGCGTCATCTCTCAGTGGCTAGGAAGGTATGGGGCTTGTGGGGGAGGGTTGGGGCGGGCAGGAAGAGGTCCTCCACCTGGCACCCCAACTCTCGGCCCCACTCCTTGTCTGTCAGGAAGAGGGCGATGCTGGTCAACAACATCCTGGCGGTGCTGGGGGGGCGCCCTCATGGGCCTGGCCAAAGCCTCGGCCTCATACGAGATGCTCATTCTGGGACGGTTCCTCATTGGCGCCTACTCAGGTACCCACCCCGCCCCGCAACACGCCTGGCGCTCTGCTCTCCTCCGCTGGCTCTGAGCTTGGGGGTGGGAGCGGCCAGGTGCCCTCACCCCTGTCTTCTTCCCTTTGCCCAGGGCTCACATCAGGGCTGGTGCCCATGTACGTGGGGGAGATCGCCCCCACTCACCTGCGCGGTGCCTTGGGGACGCTCAACCAGCTGGCCATTGTCATTGGCATTCTGATCGCCCAGGTGACCGGGCCTGGCCTTACTGGGTGGCTGGGGGTGGGGGGTTGAGTGGGGGCTCTGGGCTGAATGGCCTGCCCCCCTTTCCTTCCCACGCGCGCTCCCCCAGGTGCTGGGCTTGGAGTCCATGCTGGGCACCACCGCCCTCTGGCCCCTGCTCCTGGGCATCACGGTGCTGCCTGCCCTCCTGCAGCTGGTCCTCCTGCCCTTCTGCCCAGAAAGCCCTCGCTACCTTTACATCATCCGGAACCTGGAGGGGCCCGCCAGGAAGAGTGAGCTTCCCTCCACTGCCCCCACCTTTCTAGCACCTGTCCTGCGGGGGGGGCTCCCCCGCCCCGTCCACTCAGGCCCCACCCTCGTCACCTGTAGGTCTGAAGCGCCTGACCGGCTGGGCCGACGTGTCGGGTGCGCTGGCTGAGCTGAAGGAGGAGAAGCGGAAGCTGGAGCGGGAGCGCCCGCTGTCCCTGCTCCAGTTGCTGGCCAGCCGCACCCACCGGCAGCCCCTGGTCATCGCGGTGGTCTTGCAGCTGAGCCAGCAGCTGTCGGGCATCAACGCCGTAGGTGGTGGGCAGCCTCGGGTGGGGCGGGGGTGGGGGCGCAGCCTGGGAGAAGGGGAGCCCACAGCCCGCCTCCCGGGGATCCAGCGCAGGGTGGTCCCAGCGTGGCGCGGCCTGCGAGGGAACGAGGGACACACTGCCAGCCCCCTTCCTTCTCCTTCCCTGCAGGTCTTCTATTATTCAACCAGCATCTTTGAGTCAGCGGGGGTGGGGCAGCCGGCCTACGCCACCATAGGGGCCGGAGTGGTCAACACGGTCTTCACCTTGGTCTCGGTAATGGATGGTGCCGCCTCCCCCGTTGGCTTCGCGTCCCCCAGATGTCCCAGCCTTCCTCCCCCAGGTCCCCCCCCACTTCTTGTGCTCCAGAGGCCCCCCACCGAGGCCCCCCACCGAGCCCTGACGCTCCCGGCAGGTGTTCCTGGTGGAGCGGGCTGGGCGCCGGACCCTGCACCTCCTGGGCCTGGCGGGAATGTGCGGCTGCGCCATCCTGATGACTTTGGCGCTGCTTCTGCTGGTGAGGCCTGGGGCAACCGGGGCGGGGGTGGGGTGGAGGTGGGGGGCATCGGTCCAGCCCCCGGGAATGGCCCCGGGAGGCTCTGCGCCCAGCCAGGGCCAGTCCTCAACACCTGCCTGTGATCCCCGGGGTGACCGGGTGCTCCCGAGGCACGCAGGCTGCCCTGGGGGCCGGGACGGAGAGCCCCTGTCCAGTCCCAGGAACGGTCACTCCCCAGGGGCTGCTGCAGAACCAGGAGAGGACGGACCACCTTGACCGAGAGGGCGTCCGCATCCCCTGCGTGGGGCAGCAGTTGGACAGCCGGCTGGGTGTGGACGCTCGGCAGGGCTCAGAGGCCTGCGCCCACCTGGGGTGTCGGGCTCGTCCATCAGCGGCCCAGAGGGACGGACCTCAGGTCTCCTTGCAGCCTGAATTCCTTTCCCTCCCCGCCTGCCCCAGGAGCGCGTTCCTGCCATGAGCTACGTCTCCATCGTGGCCATCTTTGGCTTTGTGGCATTCTTTGAGATTGGCCCCGGCCCCATCCCCTGGTTCATCGTGGCTGAACTGTTCAGCCAGGGCCCCCGGCCAGCGGCCATGGCCGTGGCCGGCTTCTCCAACTGGACGTGCAACTTCGTCATTGGCATGGGTTTCCAGTATGTGGCGGTAGGTCCCCTAAGCCTCGTCCCTGTGTTCAGCTCCTTAGGCCAGAGGGGGGCACGTCACAACCAGCCCGCCTGCTTTCCCCCCTCCTGGCTGGGAATCACTCTGGTGGACCGCGTGGGCCCTGAGAAGCACCCACAGTCCCAGGAAGGAAGGGAACTGAGGGGCATGGGCTAACAGCGAGGGGTCTTCAAAACCAAGTGCAGCCCAACTTACAGTAAAGCCATCGGCTTCGGGCTCCTACTGCCAGCGGTCGGGAATCCACTCCCCGAGGCGCTACTGTGCTCTGGGCGGGAAACGAGGACAGGTGTTAGGAGGCGGGGAACGGAGATCCTTTCCTTCACTCCTTCCTGGTTTCCCTGGGCCCGCAAGGGAGCCACCTGCGTGTCCATCATGCCCCCACCGGCCGGGGCCCTGGGCGCCTGCTCCCGAGAGCACGCCGGCCCTCCCCTCCGCCAACCCCTTTCTCCACCCGTCCCAGGAGGCTATGGGGCCCTACGTCTTCCTTCTCTTCGCCGTCCTCCTGCTTGGCTTCTTCATCTTCACCTTCTTAAAAGTGCCTGAAACCCGAGGCCGGACGTTTGACCAGATCTCGGCCGACTTCCACCGGACACCGTCCCTCTTAGAGCAGGAGGTGAAACCCAGCACAGAGCTCGAGTACTTGGGGCCCGATGAGAATGACTGAGGGGCCATGCTCTTGCCCCTCCGGGGACCCCTCCTCTCCTGTGCAGCCCTGCAGCCCGCTCTCCCTCCTTGCTCCCAGGGCGACACCCCTGCAGCCTGGTAGAAGTGGGAAGCTGGCGGGGACCGTGGTCTGAGCAACCCCCCATTCCCCTCGCGTGACTCTTGGATTATTTATGTCGTGGTTAGGCTGTGGCCATCAGGGTGGGCCATTCTCTGGGCTCCCCCTCCCCCATAGCCCACCCCGCCCCCACCTGGCCACCCTTCCAGAATATTCTTGTCCCTTGCTAGAGAAGGGGTTGTGGGGAGGAGAGCCCCCGGGTGGGACGGAAGTAGGAGCAGGACTGGAGCAGAGAAGGTAGCTTTCTGCCATCTCGGACTCCTCCTCCTCGCGGGCACCTTCTCTGAATTCCTGCCACATAGACTCTGGGTGAAGGGGGTCCCGCCTTGACCCCTCCCAGACGAGGACGCACCCTCCCAAGGCCCAAGCTCATCTCTCCTGGCAGGCTCTGCTCTCTCACTCAACCTTCCAGGGCAAGAGGGCCGTGTGCCCATGTGTGGTGAGAGGGACTGCCCATCCCTTTTCCTCTGCCTTCAAGGATGTTCTCCCCACAAGCTTCTGACCAACTAAGGGCAAGAGGAGTTTGAAAGGCTGCCTGTAAACACGGGGTGGGAGGAGCCCTCAGATATTTTTGTATATGTTTGCAGAAGGGGTAGAAAGAAGAAACCAAAGGTCTGTTGTACTAAATGTATATATATACATATATATATAGATAGATAGATAGATAGATCCATACATAAAGTCACTGTTTGCGACATGCGTCCTGTCGTGGAGGCACCCGGGACGGGCTGGACAGGGACTGCAGTTCCCTGGTCCCCTCTGCATCCTGCTGTCCCTCTCCACCCTGCCTTAGCCCAAGGCCCAAGAATCCTGTGGCTGTGCTCACTCTGTCCCCATTTCTGCTTCTAGTCGTTGCTTTTTTTTTTTCCCCCTTAAAGTAAGCTCTACACCAAACAAGGGTCCTGAACGCATGACCCCAAGATCAAGAGTGGCCTGTGCTACTGACTGAGCCAGCCAGGCACCCCTGGTCATTGCTTTTACGAACAGTAAATGCTCAGTAAGTTGCAGCCCTGGGTGGCAGCCGCTGCCTTTGGCACTTTCCAGAACATTCCTGCAGGGGAGAGGTCAGCCCCAGGGTAGGGACAGGACAAGTGAATCTTCCCGGGTGGGAGGGAGGCACCCTCAGACCTGCGCCCGGGAGGAGGGCTCCCGCCCGCTCAGCCAGCCCTGACCCTCTGCCGCCCCCGTTGGCAGGGAGGTACCGGCGAGTCCACAGAAAAGAGGCAGACACCAAGACCATGGGGAAAGCCTGGTTTTGTTTTTACTGGAGGCTCGGGTGGCACATGACAGTTCATTAAATGGCTTCAGAGGTAGGGGCTAGAGGAGAGACCAAAAATAAACTGGGGTGGGAGAGAAAAGCAACCAGGAGGAGGTAGGAGCTGGCTGGTTCCTTCGCAGCCTGATTTAGGGGAGGGACGTTGTGCCTCTTAACAGTAGGATGGCTCCCTTCCTTCAGCCCTTGGTAGGGAAGGGACAGAGAAAAAGCAAAAGGCTGTTGCTTCGGCCCTCCTGAGTCTCAAGGAAAAGGGGAGAGCTGGTGTTTTGATGTCATGAATTCTGGGAAGGGGGCAGGGGGTGCTGGGTGGGGTACAGGGCGGTTGGAAAAACTGGCAAATAACCTGCGTGAGAGAGAGACAGCGACAAGTCGTGACTGGGGACCCCTCCTCAGGCCCAGCATCCCATCTCTGGGCCTGCCCCCCAGGTGTAGCCGCTCACCAGATGGTAGTTCTGGGGGTCCTTCGTGTTGGAGTCACTCCAGTATGGTGGGTGGGGGGTCCCCACTGTTGATGGGGGCTGAGGTCTGGAGAGAACAGGGCTGGTCATTTGAGACCCTCTTACTCTTGAAAGCCCCCAACTTGAACCTTCTTCCACGTTTTTTCTTCCCATTCCTCCCACAAGCAGGGGGGGCTGGGGCTCCAAGAGTGAGAGGGGGGTCTGGGGGGACACCTGCCTGAAGGTAGAGGACCCAGCAGCAGCAGTCTGGGCTCCCTGCTGTGTGGGGGGAGGGGTTTACAGGGGCAGAGAAGGGAAGGGAAATGGGCTGGGGCTGTTTCTCTTACCCGCCTTGCCTCCCACCAAGCAGCCCAGGTCCTCACCTCCGGGGCTGTAGGCTGCCTGGGTCCGGGGGGCTGCTGCCGCCGCCGCTGGAAATAGGGGCGGTTTCGTGGGCGCTGGGGCTCAGGCCGGGAACCATCAGTGGGGCCTTGGTTGGGCTTGGTCTCGCCATCCCCACCTTCTGTGGTAGGCTGCTGGGGTGGCCTGGGGCGGAAAGGCCTGGGGAGACAATTGGGAGACCCTGGAGCAGGCAGCGAGCCGGTGGGTTCCGTCTTCCTCCCTCCCAGGGCTCCCCCAGAGGAGGGAAACCAGCCGGCTTCCCCCACTCCCCTTGGGCACTTAAGCAGCCATCTCTCAGCTGCTCTGGCCCCTTGCTGCCAGCCTCAGGCTCCTCTTAGCCTTGCTCCCCACCCCCCCACACCCACCAATGCCTGACGGCAAGGGGAAGACAGCCTGGGAGAGGGAGCCTTACCTTCGGTACCGAGGCCGGAATCTGGGAGGGGGCACGCGCTCATCTCCCTGCTGGTCCCCCTCCAATGGGGCGGTCTCTTTGGGCTCTACCCCGTCGGTGCCCTAGGAGTACGCAAAGACCCGGGGGTGGGGGTGGGGGTGGGGGAGAGGCGACAGCATCCAGGGCCCCCAGCATCGAGACCTGTTCCCTGCAGACCCAGAGATCTGTGTCCACCCCTCCCCCGGGTGCGGCAGCAGCCTCCACAGGCCCAGGGCCCCCACCTCTATAGGCTGCTGCTGGCTGGGGGGCCGAGGGCCTCGCACAAAGCGCCTTCGGTAGAAGAAGGGAGGTGGGCGCCGCCGCCTGGGCCTCTGCCCCGAGTCCTCAACTCGCTCGCCTTCGCTGCCCGGTTCCGCCCCACCGGACGGAGCCTCTGCCACCATGGGTGGGGGGGCAGCCGGGCGAGGCCGGGGGATGAACCTACGGAACCTGCGCCGATTGGGGGCGTAGCGGCTGCCCTTCACGGGTGCACCCCCGGGCCCGGTCACGTTGGCAGCTTCGGCACCCTAGGGAGAGGTGGGGAGCACGGCAGAGCTCGCCCCAGCCACGACCCAATGCCCCCAAACCCACCTCCCCTCCTCCCAGGTAAATCCACCCCCTCCATCTGCCCTGCAGCGGCCCCAGGCCGCGGTCTCCTGCCCTCCTCCAATGGCCCGGGTCTGCTTGTGGACGCTTTAAGGAAAGGCCCCTCTCTAACTCGCCCTTCCGGGGTAGCTGCTATTGGACCCTGAGGGCTGGGGTCGGGGAGGAAGAGGGCGGGCTCCGGACTCCCGTAGAACCCACTAGAAGTGCTTGGTGCATGACAAAGAAGCCAGGAAGTCATCAAGGGCTCTAGGACGTCTGGCGAAGGCCCCAGCCATCCTCGGGACAGCACTGCCCCACTCCACTCCACAGCCTGGGCTCACTGGCCCAAGGAAGAGGGCCCTAGGGAGGGTCGCCCCAGCCCCGCCCCAGCCCCGCCCCAGCCCGAACCTTCTCTCCCTCCACGACATCGAACTCCACGGTCTCCCCGTCTCCAACGCTGCGTAGGAACTTCCTGGGGTTGTTCCTTTTAATGGCCGTCTGGCAGAGGAAAGGCCATGAGAAAGGTGAGGGCAGCAGGCCCAGAGTCTCCCTCACCCCTGCTGGGTCTGTTCACCGTCCATCACGGGTGCGGCGGGGCCGGAGGGCGGAGCTCAGAGGCAGGCCAAGTTCAGTGGGGGAGAAGCCGCAAACCAGAGGCAAACCAGACGCCTCCCTGCACCCTCGCCCTCAGCACTGTCCCTGGGACACACTCCCCCCTCCCTTCAGCCCTCAGGGATTTCCCAAAGGGAGGCCAGAATCAGGAACTCAAAGCAAAACCAGAGGCAGAGACTGTCCTAAGTTGCAGAGCAGGCAAAGTGCCTGGTGCTTCTTACCCGAGAGCTCCCACCCCCAGAGCGGTGGTTCTCAAGCTGCAGCCACACCAGTATCACCTGGAGACCCCTTCAGACTGACGGCGGCCCCTCCCCCAAGCCTGACTACTGCAGCAGCCCTGAGGTGGGTGAGGGTTCCCAGGGCCAGTGATGCTGCTGCCTCGGGGACCACACTTTGAGAACCACCGCAAGTAGCTCCAGCCTGTGTCCTCTCTCTCAGAACACGACCTAGGGTTCATTCTCGAGTAACAGGTCCCAACGTGGGAAGTGAGCACGCCACAGCCGGGGGGGGGGCAACAAGCGCATTTCTCACGCAGACCGCGTGACACATGTGGGGCCAATGGCGGTTAATACAGGCACCTGAGGTGAGGGGGAGGAGGGGCCCACTTCCTGGCGGGCATGCTGTTGTGAGGGGAAAGCAGGCAGATGATGGCAAAGGCCTTCCGGGAGGGGGTGCGTTCTTCCCCACTCCCCGCCCCCCCAGCTCTTACCTGGTGAACAAAGACATCCTCCTTGGTGTCATTCCTGCAGAACGGGAGGGGTTGTTGGGAGGAGCCTCAGGGAGGCCTCCCCGGGTGGCCAGACCCCAAAGGAGCAGGCCCATCCTCGCCCACCACCCCGGGCTCCCTGGGGGGGGGGGGGGGGCAGACAGGCCCAGGGAGTGATAAGAGCTGGGAGCTGGTATGAAGGGAAGGATAGCAAAAACCTCAGTGAAAACCCTGAGTTTCCTAGGAGGGGGAGGCAAAGTCACCTTGAAGACACTGGGCCAGCTCTTTACCTGTGGAGGACTCACTTCTCTGCCCCAGGGGCACCTTAGAACCTGGCAGTGCCGAGCAGCTACCTCTGGCCAACACCCCCACCCCAGCCCCTATCACGGCTGGAAAATTCCTCTCCACGTCTTCCCTTCTATAGTCTAGAAGGAGGGATAAAGTGTGGATAGGGGTGTGGGGTCGAGGTGCAGAACGAGTCTGAGAAAAGGACAGTGTTCCCAGGGGCTGCTCTAAACATCCCGGATACTTTATTCTCGCCCTCAGCCCAGAGGTGAACCCCAGGGTCAGTCACCGCCACCCCAACATACCGAGGGACCAAGGGTGGGAAAGAACAGTGTTTTTGACCATTCTCGATCACGACTTGCCTAATACCCCAGCTTATCCTAGCACCCCATGGGGGGGGCAGGGGGGAATGGAGAGATTTTTCTCCAGAACTTCCCAGGAGCCCTCGGTTTCCAGAATTAGAGAGGGATCCTTCCCTAGATCAGATGTGCTGGCTTTAAGGCACTTGGATCTGCACAAAGGTCAGCCTGCTAAGAGGGAACTAGGGCCTCCTGGGAGGGCTGGGCTGGGCAGGGTGCCCGGGCTGGGGAAGGGCCCACTGGGGGAGACCTGGCTCGGCTCAGAATCTGCCACTGTAGCCCCTCCCCGAGAACGGGAGGGTTGGAGATGCCCAAATGCAGGAAAGCAGCAGCCTGTGCCGAGGCTGGCTTCCTTCCCCAGCCAGCCGCCGGCCGCGCCCCTCTCCAGCCTCAGCCCGGTCAGGGTCAGGTGGGGGGATGCAGATGAGCCAGCAGCCCTCTATGGGACATGAGTCAGGGGCGGGCTCCTCCAGCGCCCGAAACAGGAAATGAGTGAGAATTCCAGCCTGGAGCCCCGAGGCGAAGACAGCAGGTACATTCTGCCCCAAAGGCAAG